ACATATACATTTGTGTGGTGGGGGTTTTTAAAAAAGGAAAATTGTATACATTTATTGAATTCATTAAAAAAAGAGTTAAAATCAGTGGTATTGTACATACATGATTATCGAATCCCTACATTTCTTGTATATTTTTATATAAAGATCATGCATAATTCATAGTCCATTTCATAATGTCAATCATTTATCAATCATTGTATTACATATACATTGTTGTACCGCTCCAATGATCCCCTATGCGTTTCGCATGTGAGCTTCCTCAGGGGGTTCTATTCCCGGCAAGAAATCCAGGGATGAGGGATCATGTAGGGACCCAAATCCAGGAGGACCGCACCCATTCCAGTCACTCCCGGAGAGTTTAAGCAGCGGAGCCACAGACGCATAGAAAGGTCCAGCGGGAACTTAATATCTTAATGATCGGTACAAAATCTCCTCCTCAGAGGCCACCCGTTCGTTGTTTTTCTCATCTATGTCCTCCTCTCCTATGTGTGCCTCTCGCTCTCCCTTGGGAGGCACACACGTTTTTTTATTAATTAAACCTACAATACTGCCAAATGCAATGGAGCAGATTCTGAGGTATTCTCTATCATGCGCCAGACTGTTTTGTGCACTATTATACCTTACATGCCATGTTTTCCCCAAACCCAATCTTGTGTAGACCCTGGCAGGTTATTTGCTGACTTATGTCTCTGGAATTGAGGTTTGGCATGTTGGTAAATGAAATCTGGTCATTATTGGTGTAAAACCCACAGACTCTGCTATGATCTTGCCCCCAGTTCCAGTGACTCACATTTGATTACCAAGCTGCCCAGTATTCTCATTAGGGAGCAATTTGTTACATAAAGTCTCCTCTAATAGTAAAATAAGGACCACCCTCCCTTGTAACTAGATATTGAAACTCCAACAGACTCATAGCTAGAAAATCTTGTAGGTTAGGGCCAAATTGTAAAGAGACCAGAGTGGGTGTGCTGGTGTCTGGTAATACAGAAGGACATCTGTGTGAGCAAGGAAATAGTGGGCAGAGAGTGTGGAATATCTTTACTAGAACGGAGTTCCCCTTTCATAAGCTTTTTATGCCCAGCTGGCATTAGGGGGTTTCCAGCTGGGTCAAGCAAGAAGCGTGGCTGGTATGCTGAGACGTGTGCATGTGTTTTATGGAATGGTTGGGCAGCAGAGCAACTCACCACTTGTAGCATGTTAGCGGAATGACGTTATGTCACATGATCTGAACAGTCACTTTTACTGCTCACAAAAGAACAATCTTCATTGGCTGTGCACTATGAAAATAACCATGACCTGTAGAAATTGTGTATTTTCCCCATTTTCAATCCGGCATGATTCAACGTATGCCTTGTTTCATTAACTTGTCACCCACGCTCTGTCTTTCACATGTCAGCAGGCACCTGTCATATAAAGCTGCATTTATTGGGATATTCTTAGCATAGCCTAGCAGTGGTGCCCTAGGAGTGGCCATCGATCAGCAGATCTCCCACCACATATTATAAATAGTGAGAGAGCTGCCTTTCATTGTTAAGCCACAAGGTGCTGGCAACATCCCTAATGTTCCAGAAAACAATACATTGTGTCTGGCCGCCTTTCTGATGATCAAATTACCACAAAAAAAAACCAAATACCCCAAGCCGTTCCCCAGCTGCATAGGAGGCACTATCTTATTGCATGCTCTTCTGAAAGTCTATTCCATATGACAATATCATGAAATGTTACTGAATACTTTAGTATTTGTTTGTTGTATAACACCGTGGGGGGAATTTATCAAAACTGGAGCAGCCAAAATCTGGAGCAGTTGCCTATGGCAACCAATCAGCTTCTCTCTTCAGTTTGTTCAGTTAAGCTTTGAAAATGAAAGGTGGATGCTGATTGGTTGCCATGCACAGCTGCCCCAGATTTTGTCTTGATAAATTCCCCTCGCTGTGCTAAGGAACAACTTGCAGCATCTTCTTCACAGGCTCCATAAATGTGCCCTACAGTAACTGTGAGAGTATAATGTGGAATGTACTAGTTTTTTGTATTGTAATTTCTGTCCTGTGAACACATTTTTAACTTTTGGAATTACAAATCATTTAGACTTCAATGAGTCCTAATCTTAGCGCTTTGCAAAAATCGAATGTGTCCGTGTCCCTCACAGAATTGCAATTTTGAGTAAGCTCAACTAATCAAGTTAGTGTCACTATCATTTCATAGTGCTCAGCCAATAAACAAACATACAGCAATATACTGGCGTGCATTCACAACATGAACATAAGCCACATGAGGAGAAGCAAAATAGCAAGCAGTGAGAACTTACCTTGGGTCATCGGGATTGTCCACAGGGGCATGACTTAGGAGGCAGAAAGAAAGGAGGAGGCATGCAGTAAGCAGCAGCAGAGATAAAGAGCAAAAAAGCCTCCTCGCCCACCACCCCACACACAAGACCGGGCCTAATCTTCAGAAGAACATATTGTTCAGTAAACATTAGTAACAAAACTACCATAATGGAGCTGTAGTAAGGCCTGTGAACAAGAACACCCCATGTAAGTTAAAGCTGAACTAGCATTATCTTTAGTCTTGCACACTTGTCCGGGTCCCTCTCCTCTACCGGGAATGCTTGGCCTAAATTTACTGTGCACTGTATGTGTCCCAAAGTGTACATTAGAAACTGCAAAGAGTTGTCTACATTGCATAGAGAAGCACAGAGGTCTAATAATGACATCACTGGGACGAAATAGGATGTGCGATGAAAACAGAAAAGGTTTTATTAAAAAAAATGTTATTAGTAAGTTGATGAGGGGGAACCAGGGAAGGAAACATATAAGCAGAACAAACTTCAACTTTACCCTTCCTTGGCCAAAGGGTGCTCTGTGGAAACCCATTCAGGCAGCACCTACGGTAGCTGGTGTACTGATGGCGCTATATGCCACCAACAAAAATAAGGGAGTCGAATGCCTGACCAAGATTGACCCAAATTGCTTACAATCTGTTGAACAAGCAGCCTATCTATCAAATGAATTGCCACACACGCAGCCTGCTTACAAACACATTCAGCTGGTCAAAGAACAAAACAGTCTTTTACCCAGGTACCCTAAACCTAAATGAGAATTCCACCCTTGTAGTGCAGGGGATAGGCTCTGATAACTGAAATTTACATGTATTTATATTCAGTGTATCAGAATACAAGAGTTTTTGGGACATAATTGGCCTTGTGAGAAGGACGAGCATTAGTAAACTGGATCAGGTGAACCAAAATCCAAGCAGAATGATCCCAGTATGTGTACATGAGAGGGATGGTTAGACCAACGTTCTGCTCATCCTTCTCAATAGGCAGCACCATCAGTACATAGTGCCCATGCTGTTCTATATACACCCATGCTCCGCAGCATTCATCATTAGACTCTAAGGAAAGAACTTTGTATTTCACAAGGACAAATACATTTCAGGAAAGTTACTATTGGGGGATTGATCATTTTTTATAAGGAAAGTCAGCTTTGTTTTAAATGGAGGTCTAATTTTCCTTCTCTTGAATAATCCAGACATTGTCCTGCCCTAGTTTCTTAGGGAGATGTTGATCCATCACCCAGCAATCTCCCTCTCTGCTGGGTGAGACACTACATTTAGGATTATTAGGACCATTTTTAAAGACATTATTTTATTACTTTGCAGACAGAATAGTACTATAGAGGATATGTGTCAAAATGACTCAATCCAGGAAGAGAAGAATGGATCGTTCCTGGGTTTTGTGCCGGAGGCGGCATGAGACTCGCTAATCTTGTTTGTTACATTTGACTCGGATCTCTGAGGAATTGAGGTTAATGGTAGGGATACATCAGCTAACCATCTCTTGTATGACGTGATTGCTGCAGTTGACAAATCTCAGTAAAAAGCAGTTTTACTGATTACAAGTGAAAATAATGCTGACAATTGTATGCAGAATTATATTCATATTCTTCTTTCTTATTCAGAGAAAGAGTTACGCAGAACAACACAATAGTGACACAACATAATCATGTTATTCAAGCAGATCATATAT